AGTGGACACTCCAGGAACTGCAGGATTTTACACTTCGGCATCGACCTTAGTTTTCATCACCGGAGTTTGCTACTTGGTTTAATCTCTAATAATATTTGAGTTTTGGTTTCTGTTTTGAAAATGTTTTTGAGCTGCAGTTTAACATTCACACCAGGTGAGCGTCAACATGAATCAGTGGACAGACAAAAGAAGATACCTGTAAACATTGTGGACGCTTCATTTGTGGTTTTATTTCAGATATAGTCCACCACAGACGAACCTTGTGAACAGCGCCCCCTGGAGTTTAACACAACTCAAACTACAAGTTCACTGCCTGTGAAAATGTCTACAAAAACATGTGAAAGTGGAAAAAAAGAAGAAAACAACACGTGTATAAAAACAGAAAATGACCGAGGTTTGGTCTGAATGTTGCTGAATCGTTGAATCGCTTATCGTTAATTCAGCGTACAAAGTTTCTGCTCTTTCTGAGTCTGAACATCGGGAATTAGGAGGAGAAAAACGTTCCAAAGCACATTTTGACTTTTTGTTTTTGCACAGCTCGTTTAATCAAAGCGTTGAAACTACAGATGCTCATCAAACATGTTTTATTCCTTCACTGCTGCATGCACCTTCACACACTCAGACAGGAAACAGTGTTTGTGTCACACACAAGTCAAAGAACTGAGGCCCAGATATTGAGTCTCTAGAAAATAAAATGTGTCATGTTTCACATCTCATCCTAATTCTGCAGAAATCTGATTTAAACGAAGTCGAGGACACGGCGATGCTCTCTGGTTTTTTTTTCTCCAGCAGATAAAAGATAATCATAGTCTGAAAGGCCAGAAAACAGCGAGATCATCGACCCCCCTACCTCACAAGAAACAAAACTATCTGAAGACGTGAAGCAGATATCAGCACACAGCAGAAAGAAGATTGTTGATTTTTACGTTACAAATCAACTCGATGCTAACCGTCGCTAAAGCAGAAATGAGGACGTCAAAAAAACAAGTTTCACTCCGAGTTCTCAGAAATAAAAGTTGTTTTTGTACGGAAGCCTGGAGCGGACATTAGGGGCGGGAATCTCAGGGTCACATTGCGCTGTACGTGGTGTCTCAGGGTAACGATATCACGATACTGTGATTCTATAATAAACAGACGATCATGAATGCATCACGATATCTGATGAACTAAAAAATATGAGCCTTGAAAAAGTTACCCAGCAGAATGAATGTTTTGATTTTTTTCTCCACATTTTCCCGACAATTGGCTTCTTCGTATTATTTGGCCCCTCAAGTCGCTCTCATTCCATTATTTTGTTCTGATTCTAACAACGAGTGAATGGATGGATGTATCAAAACGAGTCAAGAAGACGATATATCATCGGTATCGATTGTATCGATGTTGAGTCCCACCCCTAGCGGATGCACAGTCACACACGTTTTCCCGTGATAACGTGTAGATTTAATCGTTTTCTTGACAGATAGATCTCGGGGAACAGAATTGGACTTCCTGTTATGATAGCGATCTTGAGAAAAGGCTTCTGTAGTTTGGATACTTTTTAACCCTGATTTGAATCCATGATGTGCAACATTTACATTTTTTAGTTTGTTTTAATAACCAGATTTTGTCCCACACATTGTTTCTTCTCAGTTTTCCTGCGATGACGTGCAGATTTCGGTTGTTTTCTCGAGTGATTTATCTCGTGAAGCAGAAGTCGATACGTTGTGATGATAGCGATCTTAAGAAAACAGTTGAAACGTTCTCGTTATCACAGGAAAACAAAGTGGGAACAAAGTGTCTTTAGGGCTTCTTTAGTTTGGAGACTTGATCCATGATGTGAAACGTTTTCATGATTTCTTCATTTCATTCAGGAGTGCAAAGGAGTCTTTGGAACGAACTCGTTTTGTTCCTGCAGGAAAGAGTTCAGGAAGTGTTTTCTCTCCAGCAGCAGGAAACGGGGAATGATCAGAAACACCAACAAAAACTGAAAAATGTTTCCAGAAAAAAAACAAAAACAAACAATCAGAAAAGTTTGAAGCAAAACTCCCACAGTCACACAGACGTTTGACGGACAGCTGACGATCTTTTTTTCCTCTCCTGCTGAAGCTCCGATGAGTCTGACGAAAACATGAAAAGAACCAATCACAGCCCAGTGATGTAATCATAGGACAGGAAGTGACATCACATCTCTGAGCAGGACGGTGGCGTGGATTCTGGAGAGAGTTTTGCTGACGACGATGAGGACGATGAGAGAAGCTGGAAACCGTCTTGGTTCTTCTCAGTCAGATTTCTTGTCGCTGCTCGCCTGCAGACAGAGAACAGAAACAAACAGTGTGAGCGCCTCCTACAGGCTGCGGCGGTTATTACATCCAATCAGATTTTAGAAGTTACTGACAAAGGTTTTGGGTCGGGCTGCAGCCTGGAGACCTCTCGTCTCACGCCCCCTCATGTGATCTATTGGTGAATATTCCTGTGAAGTAGCAGCGAGACACAGCGGACCGGACGCCATCTTTTATTTTGATCATTACAAGCTTAAGGAGCTCAAAGGGGGCGTGGCTTCAGACCACCGAGACGAGAGCTCTTAGGACTTTTGTAGACGTTAGCCGGAGTCAGAAATCAGAATGTGTGGGGAACGAGGAGCGGGAAAAGGAGCCACAGGTCGGATTCGAACCCAGGAGGATATAACCTCCGTTCATGGGGCGCGTGCACCGACCACAAAGCTAACGGTGCCCAAATAAGGACTCCGTAACTCTGATGACGTATCATATCGTCGGTTAGCGCTCGTCTCCTCCGGCTGTGTGTGTGTGTGTGACTGTGTGTGTGTGTGTGTGTGTGTGTGTGACTGTGTGTGTGTGTGTGTGACTGTGTGTGTGACTGTGTGTGTGTGTGTGTGTGTGTGTGTGTTACCAGCAGTTTGCTGTGCTCCTCCAGCAGTCTGTCGTACTCCACCGTCAGATTCTCCGCCTGTGACTTCATCGCACGCACGTCGCTGTCAGACTTCTGCAGAGCTGCAGGAGAGAAAACAACAAACAACCAATCAGAACGCAGCTCCTGATCTCACCTGAGGAGTGAGGACAGGAAGAGGTCTCCTCACCTTTCTTGGTGGTGGTCAGCTCCTCCTTCAGCGTCTTCACCTCCTCTTTCAGGTTCTTGTTCTCCTCCTGAGGTCCTGCTCCTTTCTTCCCGCCCTCGGGAACCTCCACGCCGGCGTCGCGCAGTTTCTGATTAAAAGACGACAAAGTCAGACAACGTGTAAAAAACCTCGCAGTCTCCATCTTCAAAGATGATTAGTGACCATCCAAAGATTTCTCAATACTGTCTAACTGCTGCGTCGTGATGTATTTCAAAGATAGAACCAATCACAAGACAGGAGGCGGGACATAACGTAGGGAGGAATTTGATTGGCGAATAAAGCAAAAGAATAAATGATGAAGTCGTGATATCTGTTTCCTGTTTTGATACTCGCTTTGAGATTCAGAGTGAATCCTTCAGGAGGGTGACATCACTCCAACAGCTGCTCTGTCACTATTTTACACTGCAGCAACACATCCTGCGCTCTGATTGGCTGACAGCATCTGACTGTTTCACACTGTATATGGACCACACACACACACACACACTTTCTCTCTCTCGCGTCCTCAGGTCGGTTTCACCCGGTCGTCATGGCTACGGTCAACTCTAAGCTTGTTTTCATCAAGGGTGGGGGAGAATCACTCCCATGATTCCCCGCCAGCATCCCCGTCATCTTTTGTTATTATTTTGATTGAGCGCCCCCTGGTGGCTGAATTCACGCACTGTTCCTTTAACGCTGAAAAGTCAGGGCTCTCTGATTTGATTCATCCGTTGGACCAGCTGCTGTTAACGAGAACGAGTTCACGCTCGGTAACGCTCGGTAACGCTCGGTAACGCTCGGTAACGCTCGGCTCCTCTGACAGTAAAAGGTTATCCGACGTCCTTGGAAATCCAGAGATTCCCAACCTGGGGTTCGGGGCTCCTGTGTGAGGTCACCAGATGGATCAGACGGGTCGTGAGATGATTAATGACACAACGTTCTGTTGTCTAGTTTCTGCACAGTCTCCTTTTTTTAAATGACTTTTAAGATTTTTTAAAAAAGATTTTAAAGGAGAAGTATCATTTTACAGAAAACAACACGGGCACGTGTAAACTGACATTTTCTCGAGGAGGTCACTGAGCGGATCCCTCGTGTCGTCTCTGAGTGGCACGAGAGAAACAGGTGTGATCTTCAGACCTTTAGCGAAACTGGGTCGCTCGTTTTTACGGCTCTGAGATCTGAATCCAGCAGCACGAGTTTGTCTCAGGTTCAGGAGGTCACCAGGATCTGCATTCACACTGAAAACGACGGTTTCTTATTTAAATGTATGAACTTCAGCAGAAGAGGATTTATGTGTTTGTGAGGTTCAGTCTGTCTTTAATAAAACATGCTGACATCATCGATCCGTCTGCACAGACAAGACGTCCATATCGTTTAGTAAATGCTGTGAAACCCTCGTCAACAAACATCAGGCGGGCGAGGATCCTCAGAGAGCCGACTTAACAACCACAGAGACTGTCAGCTGTTTACATTAAGAGTCTCTAAACGCTCACACTGTAATTATAATTTATTAAAGATCATTTTATCTTTGACAGACAACTTTACTTTTTTAATCTAATAAAGGCCCCGGTTCCGCCTGCCGTTTATTCCAGGCAGAGAAGCGCTGACTGTGCGCTCTGGAGAGTTTGCATGAAGCGCTGAGAAGGAAAGTGCTGCACGTCCGTCCTGTCTCCATGACAACAGTCTGTTGATAATGGGCGCTGTATGACCGACACTTCATTACTTTTCACTGCATGTTTTATATTTGAAACTGTTTATTTCCTGATCAGACACGAGCGAGGAGGACGAGGGTACAAGACACGATCTGTAGGAGGTTAAAACTACGGGGAATATCAAACATTTGGAAAAGAGCGGCGGGGACGTCATCAGCGTCTTTCTGAAAAGTTGAAACATCTTCAACTTGAGCACTCAGAGCGGTGGCACAAAAAAGATGGAGCACTGGGCAAAAAAGACGCTCGGTGCTGCATTTTTTCTGCTCCTTGAAAAAAGACGCTGGCATTCAGAAAAAACCGCTCGGTGGACACGGAGCCTTGAACATCAGTTTGAGTTTGATGTCTGTAAATTATATTCACACACACTCCTGAAGAATTAACGCCATGTTTGCACATTTAGAGGAATTCAGTCTCTTAAATATCTGATGAGAGTTATGAGGCCTTCACTGGAACATGTCAGAGTGTGTGACTACATGTGAAGAGACACACACGCACACACACACACACACTGCACGCTTGTGTCACCTTGACTGACAGCCTGCAGTGAAACTACAGCATCAGGTCAGAAATAGAGATGACACGTGTGTTTCCTGCAGGTCTGCAGCTACACACACACACACACACACACACACACACAGTAACATAAGACTGTTCACATGTTTTCTCGACAGCTGCAGGAGTTAAAAGGTAATTTCAGAGTTTCAAGTTAACGAGGTAAAAAATAAAACTTAACATGTTTATATTGTTGAAAGATCAGAAAGAGTTATGCAATTGTTGAGTTTGTTTTTATCATAAATGTTCTTTTTCTTTTATTATCATTCAATCCATTTATCATTTAATTCATATAGTCATAACTACTTTTTTTGGCTTTTATATTTCCTGTCAGTCCTACACACACACCTGTGGTGCCTATGCACCTGTGAGGTCAGGATAACTGTGCCATACTTTGAGCAAAACCACATACGAGCTTGTAGGCGTATAGCGTTTCTGTGAATCTGCTTGATTCACATACTTCAAGCTAAAACCACATATGAACTTAGTATCACCTGTGTTATGAACTTGGTTGAACTTGGTATCAACTGTGGATGTATACTCACACCACGTGCATACATGTGTATGTATCACGTTTCTGTAAATATGAATTGTTGAGGTTTTACAGAATCTGAGACCGTCTGGCTATAAAAACGCTGGAAAAGCTGATAGGGGTTCTCTCAGCTTTTACTTTTTACATTTTTACTTTTACTGTTTTGTATTTGCATTTGGAATATCATTTCAAGTTTTTTAATACATTTTCGGAAACTTTTTGAAATCATTTTCTGACTGAAGTCATTCACACCACAAAGACCTGAGTCTCTCTTAAGGACCCCGTGAACCTCAGGAGGTAAGCTTGAGCAGTCACACCACGGCACACTTCTACTGACTTTTACTACACACCTCATACACACCTAGCATCCTAGCAGGGGGAGTTCACAGTTATTCCCTCTCTGGGGGGTAATCTAGAGTCCTGTACCAGGGGTTATTCTTGAATCTAATTATTCTAGAAATGAATGTTAGGCAGATAATCCTAAGGCTGTGATTATAACAAGTCCTCTGTCCTCCAAAGGGTGTTAGAGGAGTCATTTTACAAAGCTCCAGGTACTAGGAAAGAGGAGACTAGCGGCTGGTAGGGAGTGAGCTCTCATTTAGTTCTAGGAAACAGTAGACTAGTTAACTAATGTGTGGTGAGCTTCCGTTAGCTATAGTAAAGTTATTCACCCCTTTTTGCATGTCCAGGACATGCTACAATATTTACACAACATGTCAACAAAATACATGTGTGTATGTGACTTCCTGTGCTCAGAGCCAAACAGAGGGATTTTACACTTCAGCATCGGCTTCATTTTTCAACACTGGAGGAAGGAGCCCAGAGTGTGTGTGTGTGTGTGTGTGTGTGTGTGTGTGTGTGTGTGTGTGTGTGTGTGTGTGTGTGTGTGTGTGTGTGAACTAGCTATTAAGAATGTACCACTCTGCCTATAATGTGCAAAAATAAAAAATGACAAAACCACCTCTCATCCATTATGTAAAATATAGATAACACAGACTACTGAGTGACTCCAGGATCCACCAATAGAGACTGAAGGCCAGGTCAGCTGATTGCACGTTCTGCCTGGAAATAAACAAACTGCAACACTTTCTCAACGTCACTGCACCTTCCTGTGATACCGCCGTTCTGTCAGTAATTATTTTAGCTACAGCATCAACGTTTCTTTCATAAGCGCCCATGCACGCACGTGTGTCACAGTTGAAAGGGCAGCAGACAACTTCACCGCCGTCACTCCACAACCACCGCCGCCCTCATTCATGCACGGCCTGCTCCTGAAGTGTGGACAACAGGAATACAAAGGAGAAATCCTTCCTGCATCTTATCCCATATGCTGTTTTTAAAGTGCCTTGAGATAACACTTGTTATTTGTATAGAGCCGATTCATAATGATTGACTCCCACGAGTGCGCTCACTACGCTCACACACGGTTTGCAGCGCAGGTTTTCACTAATAACAAACTTGTTTGTTAAAACGGTTTTCAAACCGCCGTGTGTTTCACGGCACTGAAACTTTCTCTCTCTCTTCACACTCTGAAGACAACTTTCTGTTTCTTTATGATTCAGTTGCACACTGCGGTCTGTGTGTGTGTGTGTGTGTGCAGAGGAACAGACCGACATCAGATCAGACAGAGATCAGCAAAGCCACCTTAAAAAAAGTTGCTGACAGAACTTCCTATAATACACAACAACCCACTGTGTGTGTGTGTGTGTGTGTGTGTGTGTGTGTGTGTGTGTGTGTGTGTGTGTCTGTCACATGCAGATGAAGCAATCTCTCCTTTTAGCAGCAGACGACTCGGTGATCTCTTCACCCTGAACAAACCCAGGTCAGATTACCGCAAAAACTATGTGAGAGGGTGGCCGTGTGTGTGTTTGTGCACATTGTGAATGAGACACGCTGTGTCACTCTATGAATACTTCCAGTGTTTGCCTGAGCAGCTGCAGGTCAGTGCTGCCCCCCGCAGGCCAACAGCACAAACAGCAGTGTCTCAAATGTTAAACACAAATTAGTTTCTGTCTCTTTTTCTGAAGATTCATCACAAACAGAAACACACACACTGTTACCTTTCTGTGTGTGTGTGTTAATAAGTGTGTGTGTGTATCACCTCCTGCAGCAGCTCGTTGTCCTCCATGTACTTCTTGGCGGCGTTGCTGGCGCCCTCCGCCTGCTTCTTGAAGGCTTCGTTTGACGCCATGAGTGTGGCCTGCTGGGAGAGCAGAGTGGCCAGACGACGCAGTAACCTGCCCACACACACACACACAAAGACGTGTGGTCAGTGAGGTCACAGAAAAACAGGACATTTTGCACAGCACGTTTACTCTGATGTTTTCCAGCTCTAAAGGAGTTTTTTTATTCAGAAATGCCCCTGATGATGTCATCAGGGTGAATCCTGTTGCTGTCTCAATTACGCATTTCTGTGATTTCCAACTGACCATTGATGAAATCTTCATGAAGCAACTCTGTATTGTTTCAGATGTGTCTGTCGTCCTTTTCCTCTTTAACCCTCAGTCATCACTTTACTCTGAAGTCACCAAGGACAAACATGTCCATGCCAAAAAACTGATATAGAAATAGAACAAATTAATATTTTTTTCTACTTTAATTTTGCATAAATCTCTTAAACAACTCCAGTCCTGCTCAAAATGTTATTATATTATTATCAGGAATGTAACCCTTTAAATGCCAGTTTGATTACATGATTCTGGCATTTAAAGGGTTCAATTCCTGATAATTATTCAACATTTGATCGTGAAAAATAAAATGTGCATTCCAAAGTTTGTCAAGAGAGAGACTTTCTTACAAGAAATGTGTGCCATGTGCTCTAACAGACAAAATGATGACCAGATGAAGAGGAAACATTTGACCAAATGGACAAAACTGTAGTGATGGGTTCAATCACACTGTTATTATTTTGAACACAACTGTACATTAGTGTCTTATTATATCATCTGTCTCACACACACACACACACACACACACACACACACACACACACACACACACACACACACACACACACACACACACACACACACACACACACACACACACACACACACACACACACACACACACACACACACACACACACACACACAGAGAGAGAGAGAGAGTTACCCCTGACATTTCCTGGCTGAGGTGTGTGTGTTGTGTGTGTTGTACGTGTTGTGCATGCTGTGATGTCATGGCTGCTCAAAGCAGGGGGGCAGGCGGGGTAGGGGGGGCAACTGTAAGGGGCAAAAATATAACTGCCCCTACCCGATGGTCTGCAGAGAGGTCAGATTAAAGGAGCAGTGCTCTGTTTTTTGACTTGTTTTCAGAGCTGCTTCTATGATTTAATCTCTTGTTCAGGTGACCCCCCCCCCCCCCTCGGTCTTTAAGTCACTCTGTACCAGACAATTCTGTGCCAAATATGGCCGTCCTGAAATAATCTGATCAGCTGCCTTGCTCCTCAGAGTTTCCATAAACTCGCGCTCCAGGTCATAGTCTCCCCGTCTCAGCAGGTTGTGTGTGCAGGGCTCGGTCTAAATGCTGGAACACTTCCTCCTGCAGTCTGTGTTTCAGCAGCTGCTACATCACATGCTGCACGGCTGCTGTGAGTCACCGAGCAGCTGCTGCTGAACGCTACAGCACACACACCGATCACACACACTACTGCCCCCTGCAGGCCACACAGCACACACACACTACTGCCCCCTGCAGGCCACACAGCACACACACACTACTGCCCCCTGCAGGCCACACAGCACACACACACTACTGCCCCCTGCAGGCCACACAGCACACACACACCGATCACACACACTACTGCCCCCTGCAGGCCACACAGCACACACACCGATCACACACACTACTGCCCCTGCAGGCCACACAGCACGCACACACTACTGCCCCCTGCAGGCCACACAGCACACACACCGATCACACACACTACTGCCCCCTGCAGGCCACACAGCACACACACCGATCACACACACTACTGCCCCCTGCAGGCCGCACAGCACACACACCGATCACACACACTACTGCCCCCTGCAGGCCGCACAGCACACACACCGATCACACACACTACTGCCCCTGCAGGCCGCACAGCACACACACCGATCACACACACTACTGCCCCCTGCAGGCCACACAGCACACACACACCGATCACACACACTACTGCCCCCTGCAGGCCGCACAGCACGCACACACTACTGCCCCCTGCAGGCCGCACAGCACACACACACCGATCACACACACTACTGCCCCCTGCAGGCCGCACAGCACGCACACACCGATCACACACACACTACTGCCCCCTGCAGGCCGCACAGCACGCACACACCGATCACACACACTACTGCCCCCTGCAGGCCGCACAGCACGCACACACTACTGCCCCCTGCAGGCCGCACAGCACGCACACACTACTGCCCCCTGCAGGCCACACAGCACGCACACACTACTGCCCCCTGCAGGCCACACAGCACGCACACACTACTGCCCCCTGCAGGCCACACAGCACACACACCTTTTCACCTACCTGCCACTTTGATTGTAATAATTTACGTCATTACATAACACTGCTCAGTAAAATCTGAAATCTAAAAAGCTTATAGTATATATAAATCTGCTGCAGGAAGTGAAGAGCAGGAAGTGACCATATTTTGAGGATTTTGCTTTTATGATCCATCTTATCTTTCTTACGCATGGTGCTCCTCTTCCTGCCTTTATGTTCTGTATCTATCTGCTGACAGGTCACTAGCTGGTGTTTGCAGACTGACCTGGCGATGGTTAACAACAGAGGGGTTTGTTATGTGAGCTGGTTCAGGAATCACCTGCATGTGTGAACTTGTACTCGTCTGTCTGCACGTTCCCTAACAGCAGACGCCAGCAGTGGGCATCAAGGATTACACAGTGATGTCATCGTCAAACCCCCAGGAAGTCCGCCGGCCTTTGAAGCCAATTTGACATGGTGGCCAGACCTGGTATTGCAGCGTCAAGTGACGCCATTGGCCCGAAAAATACTTTAAGAGCTCACATCAGGAAAGAGACTTCTATAAATCAGCCGACCATTTTTTTAAACCCTTCTTATAATCAGTGAGTCCTAAAAGTTGTAAAGTTTATAAGTTGAGATTTCAGTCGTCTCTCGAGGTGCTGTCACATCCCTCGCTCGAGTGTTTGATGTTGTCTCCACCGTCAAGGAATTAAAATAAAATTATTGTCTTTGAGTTTTGTTCTGCAGTGAAATCAGTCGGAAAGTTTTTAGACTTTCAGCCTGACAACCAGCTCGTCTGAAACCAATCAGATTTAACCATGTCTGACCTTCTGAGGGGTCAGCCAATTAGAGATCAAGACAGTTTAACACCTCTGGACGTCGTCAAATCAGGATCAAGCTACAGGATTTACACAGAACGACCACTGTGTGTTTGTATGTGATACCGACTGTGACACACAGCTGCTCATTCTTTCCATTCGACTGTAAAAAACCCCCTCTGCTTTTAGATCAGTGTGTGTGTGTGTGTGTGTGTGTGTGTGTGTGTGTGTCTCACAGGCAGAGCAGCAGGGCGAAGCCGGCGATGTACTCGTTCCTCTGAGCTCTGAACAGCTTCATGTGGATGTGTTCGATGGCGGTCGGGTTGTTGGTGAGGTCGACTTTCTCCGTCACGCTGTACTTCCTCACCTCACGGAAAGCATCTACACACACACACACACACACACAAAGTGTTAATGTATCCACAACATCGAGCTCTTGAAAGTCTTTAAACATTTTTTTTATAAAAAACTTATTTTATTTCTAAATTCCAGACTCGAGCACACATCTGTAAATCACTGGCGCTAAATTTGTGAGTTTTTAAACACAGTGTGTGTGTGTGTGTGTGTGTGTGTGTGTGTGTGTGTGTGTGTGTGTGTGTGTGTGTGTGTATCTTGGCGTTATCATGTATCCCACAAGCGCTCGGGTTTGGTTCAGTAAACCCTGACGTACCGATGAGCAGGAAGACGAGGATGGCGATGGCCACCATGAACGAGGTGTTTCCATAGAGAGCGATGGTCTGAATGAGACGAGACTTAAAGATCTTATTCCACCTGCAGGGTTCAGAAACACAACAACACATTTAAATACAGAATATAATAACCACTGACTGCAGCACAGCAGATACAGATACAGGACAGCACTGCTCAGTAAACCTGGAGCTGTGGCGCCACCTACAGGCTGAGCAGAAAACATACAGCTGAGTTTACAGGACAAAATGAAACTGAAGAGAAGAAAGATGTGAAACAGAATATAGAACATTTAAAATGTATGGAGTCATAACAGTGCCATAGAAAAATAAATCATTAGTTAAAAAAGTAAAAACTTAACATATGAATTATTTAAACACAAGCCGGTTAAAGGTATCTTACTCTCTGATCATTAAAGGACCAATCAGTGAGCTGTGTAGAGAGTGAGATGATAAAGGTATCTTACTCTCTGATCATTAAAGGACCAATCAGTGAGCTGTGTAGAGAGTGAGATGATAAAGGTATCTTACTCTCTGATCATTAAAGGACCAATCAGTGAGCTGTGTAGAGAGTGAGATGATAAAGGTATCTCACTCTCTGATCATTAAAGGACCAATCAGTGAGCTGTGTAGAGAGTGAGATGATAAAGGTATCTTACTCTCTGATCATTAAAGGACCAATCAGTGAGCTGTGTAGAGAGTGAGATGATAAAGGTATCTCACTCTCTGATCATTAAAGGACCAATCAGTGAGCTGTGTAGAGAGTGAGATGATAAAGGTATCTTACTCTCTGATCATTAAGGAAACATGCTATGTTGAAGTGCTGGCTTCTCTGACAACAATGCAGCAGCCAGTATGTCCTCCTTCTAACTTTAGATTCTGCTCCTGAATGCTCTGGATTTGTTTGGACCAGAGAAGGTAGGCGCTTTTAAGACACGCCCCCACACGGCCGTTTTGGACGCCCCTCAGTTTGTCAGATATGAGAGCAGTTATCAGGTCAACAGGTGTTGCAGCGATGGAAGCGGTCAAGAGAAGTGGTTCAGATAGAAGTGATTGTACCCGACCTAAAAAGCCTCTGCATGTTTCTAATAAGCTCCACGAGCAGAAACGTGCTCAAACTAGGATCAATATTGGAGATGCTTTTGAAAAATGGAGAGAGGTTAGAACACAGAAAGGTTTACAGACCCATGCAGAGCTGGATAAACACTGAAGCTTCAGAGTCCACCACATGGTGACCTGAGTGAGAGGAGGGGGGGGACAGCTCTCTATGATGTTTAGAATTTGGAGTGCAGTACCCATTTTAACCACTAGGGGTCAGAGCTACATACTGCTCCTTTAAATGTCTCTCATCAGTTTCCTGGTTTTAAGTGAGAATGTTTGGAGATAAAAACACGCTAACGTGGCCTCTGATATCAGTGAAGTCTCTGTCTGAGTTCATCACAGCTGATTAGGTTTTCAGTCAGGAGGTCTGATCACTTTAACTCTGACTCACACACACACACAGAGAGCTGCTCTGTTCCTCACTGATCACTCAATAACCAGAACTTTATGCTTCTTCAGCTCGTACATGCTCAGTTACATTCCAGTTGAGCGACCATCTTGTCTTCATTATAAATAACTTTAACGTGTGTTTGATAACTGAGGGATCAACTTAATAAATGTGTTTATATTTATATCTTTCTCAACAGACAGAACTTAGATCTGAAGCCAGATATCAGCCGATATATTCAATACCACATTTTCTCTCTTCCTAATATTGATATCAGTCCGGCCCTACAAACACTTAACCTTTGTGTCTCCTTCACTCGCGAGCAGCTGGACAGGTGAGCACTGACCTCTTAGGTGAGATGAAGGGGATGCAGAGCAGCAGAACGAAGAAGACCTCAACGTACAGGAAGGTGGCGACCGCCGTCCACTGCAGACTCATCCTGACTCCTGCTGAAACACAAACCAGGGGTCAAAAAAAACTAAAATTAGTGTGACATGTGGGCGGCTGAGGCTCAGGTGGGGTTCGATACCCGGCTCCTGCAGCAACATATCCGCTGTGTCATTGGGCGAGACACTTAACCTCGAATTCCTCCCGCTGCTTTGATTAGTTACTTGTGATGCACAGCGGCCTCTACCATCAGGGTGTGACGGCGCTGTGAGAAGACCTAAAGTCCAAATGTCTGAGGACGAGGAGGGATACATGTTGTGATGTCAATCATTAAATCAATCATGTTGTCCAATCAGATTGCTCGGTCATATCACTTTTTCTCATCAAAATCCAAAAGGTTGTCCTGACAGCTGTTCGAGGGGGCGTGGCCACTCAGAGCAGCTGCAACATGAAGCTGACGTCACACCACAAACACTCAATTTAACTGAACATTTATCATGTTTTTAAACATTTTTAAACACAAATAAAGTGATAAGAAAAGAGGTATGACGTCAAAACAAACTCGATTTTTAAACAGTTTGTGACACTTTGTAAAGCTGTGCAGCAGAAAGAGAACAGACACAAGAACAGAAAAGTGAATTATGAGATAAGCAGCGAAACATCTGTCAGAGAAACATCCAGGTAATAGTCTGTTCCTGTGATAACAGCTAAACCACAGTAATCTGACGTCACCTGTTTTACTGTAATTTAAGTTATACTAAAGTTACAGCAGATTACGTCACCTCTATTTTCTGACATAATGCAGGAACACTCAGTTCTGCCCTGAGGTTAGCATGTTAGCTTAGCATCCCTGTGTATCCTGCACTGGAGTTAGCATGTTAGCTAGTTTTAGGCTCCGTCTACATCCGGGAAAGTTTTTAGTTTTTTTTAGCTCAGACTTCTGTTAAACACAAACTGCGTCACGTTCACAGGAGGCACGAGACTCACCTGTGATTATTCCACGAGCACAAACTCAGAGAGCATCAAAGTCCACGCCGCTTGTTGAGCTTTGAACTCTTTAAGTTAGCGTGTTAGCTTAGCCTTCCTGATTTTGAACACGTCCTGCTTCCGGTGTTTAAAATGCCAGCTCATCGCGATGCCGGCACGTGATTGGATGAACTCAGATAATGGGCGGGGTCGTCAAGAGACAGCTCATGACGTCACATCCTTTATTTATCGTTTTCTAACAAACAGGCTTTAAAACCGTTTCACTAATTACTCCAGCGGCATGTTTAGACTTTTACTAAAAAAGTGTGGCTCTGTTTCCGCTTCCTGTTTGGTGCTGAGTCCTCCTCTTTGGGAAAGTCTATCTGTGGCTTCCTCACGTTTATCTAGCCGCAGCTCTCTCTCCTGACCAGCAGAGGGAGACACTGTCTGCAGTAAACGATCTCTGTACTTTAACGGACCTGCGTGAAGAGGCAAAGAGCACCAGGGAAAGTGAAGACGTCTCACTCTGACTGGTTTCCAGAAACCAAACATCAACAGTTTGCTCTCTCTGTCTCTCTGTGGTCGTTACTCTCTGGTTACTGGTCAGACTGGTTGTGTTTCCACCCTAAATTATTCATGACGAACGGTCAGATTAGAAGATAGAATGACTTCATGGATCAATGGAAAGAAGTGACTGTTATATTATAACAGGAGGAGTCACGGGTGAATATGTGAAATGATTGATTAAATGTTTTGGTGAATAAAATGGGATGTCAAATGTGGAAAGAAAAGGAAAAAGGAAAGGAAATAAGGACAGGGCAGGAAGGAACAGACAAGAGAGCAAAGGAAAGGAAACAATGTGACTGAAGGAAACATGGTAGGAAAGGAAATAAAGAAATTAACAGATGTGAAAATGTAAAATAAGGAGAAGGAACAATGGAAGCGGACGAAAGGGGGAGATAAACAAGATTTCAGGAAATGTGAAATAGGTAAGGAAACAAGTGACCAAAGTAAAGGAGAGGTGGAGAGGAGAGGAAACAAGAGAAGGGTATAAGAAAAGGAAAGAGAGGGAAGGAAAGGAAACAAGGAAAGAGATTAATAAGGAGACAGGAGAGGAGCATAAAAGACATGATGGGATGGTAGTTGAGGAGAGAGGAGGGGTGGAGAGTAGGGGAGAGGAAACAAGCAGAGGAAAGGAGACAGGAACAGATAAAAGAACAGAAGACGGGAAAATATCGGAGATTGGAGGAGAGAATTCAATTCAAATTCAATTCAAAAATCTTTATTTGTCCCCGGGGGGCAATTCAAAGGCACACAGAGCAGTAAATTAACAACAGTGCAAGTAAACAAAACATTATAACCTAAATAGAAAGTGTCAATTTAAAAACAACTTAAAGCTTAAACTTAACTTAAAAATACAAAATATAAAAGATTAGATATAAGTGGACAGTGATCGGACTAACAGATGTAAACAGATGTAAACAGAACTATGTGCAGTAAAGGAGAAATAAATATATATATACAGAGCTATGTGCAGGTAGGCAAATACTAAATGATAAGTTAATAAGGTGAATAATGGAACAACAGAACTAATATAAACAATATAACTGTAAAGGTAAGAATTAGATAAATAAAGTGACCGTAGTGATGGATAAGAAACATCAGGAATAAATTAACCAGAACTGTATGAATACTGACATAGAATAAAGTGATGTAGTGCATGAGACCAGGAGGTACGAAGGAAAGGAAATGATAAAAGAGGAAAGGAGTGTAGTAAAACGTAGGTGAGGTTTGGAGGTTGGTAGGATGAGAGGAGAAGAAAGAATGGTGAAGGAGGGAGGAGAAGATGGAAAAAGGGGGGTGGGAATAAATCAGATGTGGAAAAGGGAAAGGAAAGGAGATAAGAGGCAGGAAAAGGAAAGGAAAGGAAATAAAGATGATGAGAGGAAACAATCTAAGGTGAGGAGGGAGAAGGAAAGGAAAGGAAACAAAACAAAGGAAAGGAAAGGAAAGCTAAGAGAGAAAAGGATATAGGAAATAAGGACTAGAGAATAATAGAATATTAAAAAAGGAGACAAAAGGGTTGAAAGGAAAAAGGAAACAAAAAATGAATACATGTAATGTATACACACTTTTCTCACTCTCTAGACGCCTCAAGATCCCATAAAGATAGAAAGATAAGACCACACACACACACACACACGCACGCACACACACACAAAACACACATGGTTCATAAAAATGTCAACGCTCATAAAGACTTTTTATCTCTCGCTCTGTCTCTGTTTTTATGTTTTCTTCTTCTTCCCTCACTATAACTCCCCTCCTCCCCCCCTCCCTGCTCCCCCCTTCTCACCTCTCCTCCCCCCTCCTCCTCCCCTCCCTCCCCCCCCTTCTCACCTCTCCTCCCTTCCTCCGACTCCCGTCCCTCCTCCCACCCTCCCAGTCGTCCTAAATCACACATTAAACCTCGTTTAAAGGCTTCCCTCCGGTCGCCGGGCGGATCAGAGACAGACAGAGGTAACAGGGCCCCTGAATGGCTGCTGGCATTTTCAGAGTGGCCAATAAAAATGCAAATAAAAGTGCAATTTTTTAAAAAGCAGCAGCTGAGGCGAGCGTCAGAGCGATGGAGGGATGAATTAGTCATGATTGCTAACACACACACACACGAATACACACACTGCTTGTACGCAGTGGTGTGTGTGAGGTTGTACTGTAACTGTAAGTGTACTACTGAGTCACCTCATTAAGCTCACTCAAAGAGGCCACGCCCCCTAATTATACATCCCTTTAAGCTGTAATATAATGTAAACAGGTGAGTTGTATAAACATTCAGCCCGAACAGTTGAAGAGAGAAATGAGCTCTAGAGACACAAACTGTTCTTTTACCAGGATGTAAACATGTTTATTTTAACATAGAGCTCTATGGGGACTGACTCACTGCAGGAGACAGACTCTAGTGGACACTGGAGGAACTGCAGCTGTAAAGTTAGACATTTTAACATGGAGCTCTATGGGGACTGACTCACTGCAGGAGACAGACTCTAGTGGACACTGGAGGAACTGCAGCTGTAAAGTTAGACATTTTAACATGGGGCTCTATGGGGACTGACTCACTGCAGGAGACAGACTCTAGTGGACACTGGAGGAACTGCACCTGTAAAGTTAGACATTTTAACATAGAGCTCTATGGAGACTGACTCACTGCAGGAGACAGACTCTAGTGGACACTGGAGGAACTGCAGCTGTAAAGTTAGACATTTTAACATGGGGATCTATGGGGACTGACTCACTGCAGGAGACAGACTCTAGTGGACACTGGAGGAACTGCAGCTGTAAAGTTAGACATTTTAACATAGAGCTCTATGGGGACTGACTCACTGCAGGAGACAGACTCTAGTGGACACTGGAGGAACTGCAGTCACACTTCAGTAGAGTTTCTGAAACCTCACTGCTTGGCAGTTATAGTTCAGACTGAAAGCTCAGCTGAATTGTTTTTGGAGTGGGGATAAAGTGAGGATAGTAAACAAGGAAAGAAAAGCCTGTAGGGGGCGCCAGCAGCACGTCACACTCTGAGTTGTTGTTGATTCATGTTTGATTCGGTGACACCGTCATGCATACAAGAGAAGGAGGTGACTCTGATCCTCGGGAGTCTCTCAGTTTCTGCCTCTTTGTTGTCACTCTTCATTTTTTGGGACAATTGGATCTTAGAGTCACAGTCGGCCATGTTCCTCCGTCTGCCGATAACTGTCGTCTCCTCTAACAGATTTATATTTCAGACTCATCGATCAGCTGAAACATTAAACCAGAGAAGACTGAACCCTGCGTGTGTGTGAGCATGTGTGTGTGTGTGTGTGTGTTGTTATCAGTGCTGTGCAGCCCCCCTGATCCTGGCAGAGCTGAGTCGGTTCATGCAGGGGGTAATGTGTCCTTCTGCTGGAGTGTGTGTGTGTGTGTGTGTGTGTGTGTGTGTGTGTGTGTGTGTGTGTGTGTGTGTGTGTGTGTGTGTGTGTGTGCGCGCGCGCGTGTGTGTGTTCAGTCATGGTGCACGGATAAAACGATTAGGGAAATACAGCCGTGAGGAGGAAGAAAGAATGGACTTGTGAGAGGAGAGAAAGAGGAAGGCGCAGAGAGAAGAAAAGAGGAGAGGGATGAAATGAAAGGAAACAAGGAGACATGGACAGGAGAGGAGGGGGGGTAAGGAAAGGAAAGGAAGGGAAATGAGGAGAGAGAAGGAAAGACATGAAACATGAAGAAGGGAAGAAGAAAATAATTTTAAGATCAAGTGGAGGAACACGAGGAGAGGAAGAAATTAAAGGACAGTAAAAGACAGATAATTCAAGGACAAGTGGACAGTAGAGGTCGAAGAAAGGAAACAAGGAAAGGAAATTAAATGATAAAAGGTGAGGATGGAGTGGAAAGGAATCGAGAAAAGAATGGAAGGTAGGAGAGAAAAAAGGGAAGGAAATGAACAAATGGGACAGAAGGAAACAAGGAGACAGAAGGAAAGACCTGAAAGGAGGAAAATGGATGATGGACCGTGACGTGAGGGTTAGCGTGGATGCCATGTTGTCCATGTGTGATAAAATAGTAGCCCTACAACCCGGGCGCCGTGAAGTCGATGTGTCGTTTGGAATAAACGACGAGCGTTGGGGAAACCCCGGACGCACGCATGTGGTCACATTTGGCGAATTTTACCGTCTGCAACGCTCGCCAAAACACCGTGAACCCCGAGGCATGGAGTGAGACTGTTAGGAGAGATAGAAGAGGAAGTTAAACAGGTGTCGAAAAAAGCAAATAAGGACGAGAAAGAGGAGAGGAAAGAAGGAAAGGAAAGAAGGCAAGGAAAGAAGGAATGGAAAGATGGAAAGAAAAAGAATAGAGGTCAGAAAAAAGGAAAAAGATGTAAGAGAGGAGAAACACACACACAGACACACACACACTCTCTCCACACACACACACACACACACAGACACACACACACACACACACACACACAGACACACACAGACACACACACACACACACACACACACACACACTCTCACACACGCCAAAGTTAACCCAGTTATCAGGATTATAACGCTTGACGGTTTGACACGAGGCTGAATGTGTAGGTTCTTAAATACGGGTTTATAATCCA